ACAAAAAAGAGGTACACCCTAGTAAGGGAGGATCTAAACTTAACCTCTCATCATACAAGAAAGAAGGATATAAAAATTGTGGGACATAATCCTTACCTTTCTAGAAACACACAAAAAAAAAAAAAAAAAAAAAAAAAAAAAAGGAAAAGTGGTGGTGACATAAAACATAACCCCTCTAAGGTCAAACCAAAAGGTCTAAACTTGCAAAATAGAGCAATCCACATCATAAGGTAAAGAAGATCAAATGACAAAAATTAATAAAGGGTGTGAAAAAATGTGTGTGGATATAGTTAAATATTACCTTGCTCAAAATCAGTGAATCCAGTTCTTTCAACAAACAATACATGCATGCAGCTTTTTTGAGGTATCAAGATATTTTCTTAGAAACCCAGAAGTCAGAAAGTAGCCATCATAATTTAATTAAGATTATATACATGCATTGGCATTTAACAATCTAAGACAGTGAAAAATGTTACATTTTGATGCGAGCCATGTCAAACCAGATTTGCTCAAAGGCCTTGACAATGAGTTCATGATATTCCTTTGAGTTGAGTGAGAGATAGCAAGCAAGAAGCTCTTCCAAATCCTTAGCTGCCCTGATATTGTTCTCCACAATCATCTCCATCATTGAATGCCTGAAGTCCCTCTGTGGATCAACTGAGGACTTCACAACTGCAAAACTCTCTGAAAGGTGCCTGTTCTTCGACTTCAAGCACGACGATGGTGATGATGGCACACTCTTTCTACCACATGGCTGAGTTTTCTTCTTGCTTCCAAGTCTTGGAGAGTTGCCTCTAAGTCTTATGCCCGTTGAACTGGCAGAAGACCTTCGAACCAAATTCCGGGCAACTTTCCTTTGGTTACCCTTCCGAATGCTTTCCTCCTTGACAATTTTGACAGTGAGAGACCTTTGTCCTTGTATTTCCTTCACTTTTGATGAACTTCTCTTGAACTTGGTGGCCTCATCAAATTTCAGTGGCTTTGTCAAAATTGGAGGAAGCTCTACCTCTGAGATCAGATCAGAATCAAACCCATCAGGCTTCTGATCATGGATTTTTCTTGTCGAGCCTTCATTTTTCATGTCAGCAAATTTCAGGTCACATTCAAATTCTGATGGGATTAATTCGTGAAAGTCAGGCTCGCTAGAACTCTCACTAGAAGAGCCAAAGTAATCGGGAGACTGAATATTTCTGTGGTGCTCATCAGTCCAAACCGAATTCATCTGAGCATGACAGTTGCAATTTGATGAGGACTTTGAGACAGATTTGTTAGGAGAAGGCTTGTAAACAGCTTTTCTTTCGGATCTTCTGGTGGATAATCTTCTGGGGTTTTCAGGAAAATGTGTGTCTGAGGCTTTTGGGTGGATAGGTGAATTGGAGAACTTGTTTTCTATGTTGGGTTGTGTAGAGAAGTAATAGGAGTATCTTCTTGTTTGAGAAAGGTGGGATTTTTGGGGTGGTGAGAATTTATTTGAGGTTAGTTTCTTCTGATCGGTGGAGTGATGATGGTGCTGGGAGGTGTTGTGGTTTTTGTTTCTGGTGCTGCTCATGTCTTTGAGCTTGTAAAACCAAGCATTTGGGATCATGTCTGAAAATCTGAACTTGTAATTCCCCATCAAGAATGAAACAGCTAGCTCCTCCCTCCCTCCCTCTCTCTCTCTCTCTCTCTCTCACAGACTCGTGTGTGTGTGTGTGTATGGCTCTCACTCTTAAAAGAGCTGAATGTTATGGTCTACATCGAAGGTTGAAATTGGGGTCCAGTACTAGAAAAATTTAGTACGAAAGCAACAGGTTACATGTAAAATGAAAATAAAATTAGCAAATGATCATCTACCATAGTGGTGGAAATGAGTATTGCCCTTACACTACGGTGTGGATTCGAATCTCATTATCTCTCTTATCTAACAAATCTTTCGTTTGACAAAAAAACAAAAAAAATTAGTTCTTCATTGCTATAGCTAGTGAAAAGTGAAGTTCTAACAAAGAGAAACACTTTTATGTAAAGAGTTTTATATTTAGCCCTAACTAGGGTTAATTGTTTGGATTGTATTACTTGGCACAGTCCAATTAGTTCACTGTTTATGCATGGTGATCTCTTGCAAACACCAAGCAATGATCGTTGTGATTAGGTAGTGCATCTTAAGCTTGAAGGAATCTAATTTCTATATTATTTATACATAGAATATATGATACGATATCGTTTTTACATTTTACCATAAACAATGAAGAATATAATTAGAGCTTGATTTATTTGATGCTTTCTGGCTCCTGCATATATATACCCCAAGTGCGTTGTTGTCCCCTTCTTTTAAATTTTATCTCATCTGGATCCTCCTCCTTTTGTTTACCTAAAGCAGCCAACATTAATCATGATTTTAGTAACAGCCAAGACCCATCTGTCTACCAAGTGCTGTATATCTTCCCATAATTCCTTGCTTTACAAATGATGATATTCCATGCCTTTTCCAAAGTGCTTAATTTCCACAAGGCCCGCAGGCTCTTAAAGCCAAGGCTGGATAACCTCTGGTTGCTAGTTATGGCATAATTGTTTTCAGTATTAAAACATATAAAAAATTATTGTATGATATTGAAATACTGTGATACGATAATATCTACTCTACGTACCTAATATAAAATAGCAAAACAGCATGGATAAGCTACGAGTTTATACTATAGGATACCATGTCAATCCAATATAATTATAATACTGATACTGATACAATATCAATCCAATATAAATATGTTCAGTTCCTCACGCTTCATGAGTTATTTCTTACAGTGTTTATGTTTGTGGAGGAGCTCACAGTAGACTAACGTTAACGGTAAGAATATGGACTCGGTGTTGGCGATTGACCTAGTTCTACGTTTGAGCATTAAATCTTCTTCTCGTCCTTGGTTTAGGACTAATGCTTCAATCTCTTCTTTACACACTAGGGACCGCAAGCAGACTGTAATTGATAGATATGGATTGATACTGAACCTCATATATTACAAGAGAGAATGTTTAGAATAAATTGCCAATTGATAGCCAATTGATAAGAGAAGAGACTTTGCATGTTCTTATAAGTGGTTGAGCTATTTTATATATTGCCAATTGGTTTTATGGTGGAACCCAACTTTTTTTACGATGTTAGTGCAGGTTATTCTATGTGTGAAAAACAATGGTCACATGTGCTCCCCGTCACTCGAGTTGTGTTGTCCACATGTTAAGCTCGAAAATTCACCACATGTGAGAGATGGGCATTTGAGAATGAATCCCGAATTGATGAGAGGAAGAACGTTGCATTTACTTATAAGTAATTGGACTGCTTCTCATATCGCCCAATTGATTTTATGGTGAAATCCAACTTTTTTCAAAGAAGAAGGGTGATGGATTTCATATATACATATGTGACATAAAGCCTAACGTTACATTAAAGAAAAGACCTAACAACTAGCATGATATCGACTCATACGTGAACAGTAAATGTGCTGAAAATGAATATGTGAGCATTGGGATATTAAACGATGGAGACAATGAAATAGGAACAAAGAGACTTTGTGACAAGTGACATTAGATCAAGACAGAGATATGTAAACAAGTCCCGACAGACAAATAAACATTATTTTCATCCCCAAAATTGTAAGATAAGTTTTTCCTTCATGTCAAATCCTCTCGATTTGAAAAATTATTTACGTATAAATTCAACATACTTGGAATATAATTGTTAATCCATTCTTATCCAAGCCTAAAATACCAAATGAGATTGTAAGAAATCATTCATACTTGTCTGTAAATTGTGCAAATCACAGTTTTATACGTACTGATATACATAAACATGTTAATAAAAACACAAACATGAAAGTTTACACACTCTTAAACTACGGTTAGTTTGTTAAAACGGCAATTCCCTACATGTCAAAAATCAAAGTAATTTCCGTACAGACCAAGAAAAACAGAAAACAATCGGGACCAGGAGGATGAATGGTCCCAAATTTTGAAGAATAAGACACCTCTCGACAAACCATTCTACTATTTCTTTTGCTTTTTCTTTCTCTATTGTCGTGGGTTTGTTAATAGGCCCGTAAAATAGGTCAGATCTAGCCCATCTCGATTATTAGTCCTCAAAGGTCCAAGTTTACCCGGCCATCATTTCAGCCCATTGGATTAGTTGGGCTAGACCGGACCATGCTAACACTAGGCACCCTACTATTGGTAGCCAATAATATTTTTATTTTTGTGTTAGTTTTTTAAATTGGTTTAGGTTACCTTTTTGTCCATTAATTTTTTACAGCGACATTCATACTCTATTTGGTTAAAACAATTCATAAGTTCAAATCTCGAATAAAAGCAGAAAAAGAACTTATCGTTGAGCAAAATATAGTTACTCTTATCAAACAAGATCATGTAAAATTTGATACACACAAGTGCTTGGCTCTTTGCTCTCTAATTTTCTCACAAACTTTCATAGGAATTAGAGTCTATCTCCGTCTCTTTTTCTCAAATGTTGAGATAAAAATTTCAGATGTAAAAATTATATTTACATCTTATTTATATTTTGGTGAAAAATGAGTACGATTTTTTTAAGATTTTAAAGAGATGAATTAGCGACTCACTACTAATTACACTGATATTATCTCCGACTTTACATATTATCACCTACATAGCACGATATGTGTTCCATATCCTCATATACACCTTCGACTAAAGATCGCTCTTAAAATTTCAAGGTCCAAAGACCACGCGTTAACCCAGCTGTTGACATTGACACCCGCTTAAGAACTTTGGGGTTTACTTCATTTCCTAATTTCATGGTATCCCACTTACTTTGACTCCAATACGTGAACCCCATCAACATTATTTATCACCCAATTAAGAGAAAGCACAGAACTCTCTCTCTCTCTCTCTCTCTCTCTCTCTCTCTCTCTCTCTCTCTCTATATATATATATATATATATATATATATATATATGTTACACCAAACGATATTGCAACAGCAAAACTCTTAAAAGCGATAAAAAGCAGCAAAGTCACCATCCTGCACTATCCCTAGCTTCAATCACACTGCTTTTATCAATCATTAGCTATGAAGTTGAAAGCATCAGTTGCCTTGAGATCCAAGCTACTCAAACCATGCAGAAATTTCCTACAAATCTTCAGATTCAAGCTCAAAAAACCATTCTTTTTAAGAGCTCTTCGTCTCCGTCGATCTCCTTACACCCAAGTTAAAGAGGATAAAAAGTCTCTGAAGAAGAAGAGTCGGATAACTTTGTTCCTATCATCTTTCTGTTCAACCAGGAAACCGAAACGAATGGACAGACTAGCAGCGCTCAAGAGCTTCTCTGAAAGAGGGGGTGACAGAAATGGAATACTGCACTATCCGTCACCTGTCACACCGGCAGCTATGACCGGAGGAAGGGCGGGGGCTTCTGGTAATGACGAGGTGCAAGATGCGTGCAGGAGTTTTGAGAACTATTTGGTGGAGATGATCATTGAGGAAGGGAAAGTGGGGGACTTGATGGATGTGGAAGAGCTTCTGTATTGCTGGAAGAACCTCAAGTGCCCTGTTTTCATTGATTTGGTTGCGAGATTCTATGGGGAGCTTTGCAAGGACTTGTTTTCTCCTACCAGTGATGAAAGTTAGTGTGATTTTGCAAAAATTGAATTCTTTGTCTTAAATGCCAAGTCATATTTTTATTTTTATTTTATAATATTAGGTGTAAGTGCGAAAAAATGATTCATTTTATCATGCTTCTTTGCTCCACTAGGCATAAAATCCTCTAAATGGGAAACAATTTGATGACAGAGTTAGGTGCAAATTTTGGAATTGGAAATGGGATCTTGAAATGTTAAATCTAAAACAATCATCGCTAATGCCATGTTTGCTTACTTAAAATGACGAGAATTATGAATCGAGAAACTAGGGAACATGGGAGAGAAGGAATGAAAATAATATCTTGATTTTACAGGTATTGGATTACTGATCTCATAGGAGAAGCCACATGTTTTTCGATTCTGTACGAGATATCAAACACGTGAAAAGTCAAAAATCGAAATAATTCCAATACCCGTGTTCATAAACACATGAAAAGTCAAGAATCGAAATAGTTCCATTCCAATCCAAGTAAACGAGAGAGATTTCAACGTATCAGGTACACATTACGGGACACAAAATGTCATAATACAAGTGATTGCCGAACAAGCAATGTGTTCCCCAAGTTGGAGAACAGGGCCATGATTAAATTGTGGAAAGAAACATTAACCAGATTCATGCAATCTACTACATTCATATAGATCGATCAAAATTCAAAACTTGAAATTTGGAAATTTCATACTCATATGGATCTACCTTGTATTCCCCAACAAGTGCTCTTGACTAATTTAACTATTAACATTTTCATAACAGAAGCTAGGTTCAGTTGAATTACCAGTTAGCCGGTAAACTGTAAACATTACCAAGCGACGGTTACATTTTTGATTTCGAAACATACACCCGAGACCTCACAATTGTCTCTCCAACTCTAAATCCGGGCACGACCATAAACTCCACCTGTTGTTCACCCCAGACAGCTGCACCTTCCCCGTCTTCCTCCACGGACTCCATATGGACATCCGAGAATTTACTTCCTCTTTCGACAGCAAACATTTTGCTTCAGAATCTATCGAAGGTGCAATGCCACGCAACACCCAAACCGACCTTGCCATTCTCGCGAATATTTGGTAGAATGAAGTCCTCGGATGCTTGCTACTCAATACAAGAGTCCTGTGATCCAGATGCCAAAAAACTTGGCTTCCATTGTTGGATGAACAACTAAGAGATACTTTTCTCCACAGAATCTTGCAAAATCGGAATCTGGGTTCTCCATCAGGGCATCGATTGGGTCATCATATCTCATAATACCATCCACATTATGAGATTTCAATGACATTCCATAAAACATTCTCCTAGCAATGTAGGCTTCAAATGCATATTTTTTGTGGGCCCTTTTTGAATACACAGCTTCCACTTCCACTGTCCTTGCCGCAAGATCCAAATCCCAGCCTGAAGCTCTCATCAAGCTAATTAACGGCTTTGCAAAATCGTGAATGGATTTCGATGCAGCTCTGAAAGCATCCTGAAATGTCGCAACGTTCCACACCCTTGCATTCTTCCTCTGCAAACTTGCCTGCCTTACCTTTTCAGCCAGTGCCACATTCACCGAATCCAAATCCCTGAGCTCTTTTTGCAAGCAGAGTATATCAGAGTTCTTAACTTCCATTTGAAACTTCAACTCGTCCAGTAGCTTCTCATTCAGTTCAACTTTCTTCTTCAGGATATCTGAACGAGAGGGATCAGACTTCAACTTTATACATTGCTTCTCCTTATATGCGCGCTTCAACTTACAGAGCGCTTCAAGCTCAGTCATAAATTGTTCATCCGCAGCTACAATCTTCTTCGGGTTATAGGGCAAATGAGCTTGCTGAAGCTGAACGTAAGCTAATTTCAGAGCTGAAACAATGTCAAACAACTTGGAGAACTCTGCATCCCCACACTTATCGCTTGCTCTATTTACTTCCACAGGCTGGGGGTGGATCTTCACCTCATCACACTCCGTCTCCTCTGTCACATCGCTGCTATCCTCACCCAAATGTGCATTACTAATGTTGGGGTTGTCGGGTTGATGGTTATGATCCGGGTTCTCGGACGAAAACACGCCAATGGATCTCAACTTGCAAACTTTGGCAAACTTGGAGACAATATCAGTTATGTTTGAGGAGGGTTTAAGGGGTTTGGCAGTAGCAAATTCCATTCCTTCCTGAAAGGTTCAAAAACCCTAATCAGAAACTAATACTGCATATCCAAACAACAATTTCACTAAAAGCACTTTTGGTTCCACAGAATTAAAAAAAACACCAATCTGATATATAACTTGTCTCTCAAATTGGGCAGAGCAAACCCATGAAACCTGGCGTAGAAAATGCCCACTAACAAAATAGTATACTCAACAAAAACCCCAGCAGCCAGCAGAATTGCAAAAGCACTTTTGACTTTGTGGATCAAAAACCCCAAATCAAACCAAACCCAGACACCAAAAGTTCAACAGGAACAAGCCCAAAAGCCCTTTTACAAAACCCAAAAGCCAGAAATCAACAGAAGCGATTCTACAGCAGAAGCAGGGCACATGCAAAACAAGAACAACAGCATTTGGAGTTCACAAGAAACTTACAAGCCAGCAAGTGAAGCAGCTAGACGACGGCGTTTTGGCGAAGAGCTATCTCCTTGTTCTGCATTCTCCAATGTCCGGTCTCAGCGAAAAATGGGTTTTGGTGGAGATGCCAATGTAGTCATATTTTAACATTTTCATACCAGTACAAATTTTTTTTTTTTTTTTTTCAGAAATTGTTTGGAAAAATGTGAGGGCTATAAAATTTGGTGATTTTTTAAATTAATATTATTAATTTTTCTGAGAAATGTGCTAAAACCCAGACCGCGAATCTCTATGGCTTCTGAATAACCTCCTGTCACCACTTTGAAATTCCTGCATTTTTTACTTTTTCTGCTTTTTTTTTTTTGGAATTTAAATTTAAATTGTTTTTTAGTATTTAATTTTTGGGATTTTTTCAGAGAAAGAAGCGCACGTAGTTACCAGCAGAAAGTTAATTGTAAAAAAAAAAAAAAAAAAACAGAGGATCGCACGCGAGTTTCTTTTAACTTCTGTGTCAGAGTCTCCGAGAGATTCAGAGCGTTGACGCGCATCCCGATATCTGCTCTGTAAGTTTACTGCTGGTTTTGGGATTTCCAGTTTGAATCTCCACCGTTGAAATACATGCCGTGGAATGTGGAATCGCAACTGAAAAAGTAATGACCAAGCGATTAAATTTATACACAAAGTTTTGAAAACTAAATGATATGAAAGTTGATGATTGACGTGTTTATACTTATTAATGACACATTATTTAGTTTGCAAATTTAATCATTAAATTTAGTCTCTCTAGTATTATCCCAACTGCAATATAAGACACGATGGACATATCACAAAGGTTTAGGGAAATGGATTCGTGTGTAGAGAGAAATTTTTACGTGTGCCAGAACATTCCTCATGAATGGCTGTTACATATTATAGTTTTTTTCAGAATAGTAATATCACTTGGTGTATAAAAAATCTCTAATAGTTGAATTAATGTTGAGTACGCGCACTGAGTTGGACATTTAAAAAGGAAAATCCCAGAAGAGCTGCAATCAATACGTTTTTCCTAATTCTGGATTTCCAAAAGGAAGTACAAGTAACATGCGAAACCTTATAGTTTCAAACATGGTTGACCTCCAATATTACTGATACGTTCTAACTTAATTACTTATTACTCTGTATTGAGTTTTATCATAAAAAACCTCGATAATATAAGAAGTGAAAACTCCCATCTGATACAAGATATGGTACAAATATGAAAAATCTCAGCTTATTCCCTTCTAGTTAACCCTAAGGCAAGGCGTTGAGGAAACCAAACTTAATAGAACGAAGGGTTTATTGTTTCGGAAACTGTCAAAGTGCAGAATGTAACTGGAAGAGCAGTTGCCTTGTTGATATGGGGTGAACTGAAAAGCATAATCACGTGAAGAATCTATCTGAACAGATGAGTTGGTAATATGTAAGCTTACAAGGGACAAGAAGTGAGTCCAATATTAAAAAGATAGGGAGAGATACAAGCAAACACAAAAACCTGAAAAGTTTAATACTGAGAGACTTTGCATGGAGCCAAGATCGTGAAAACGACATTCAAATTGAGGAAGAAGAGCGGGGGACCGTTTTTTATATCGCAAATATATTGATCCCAGTCCCACTTGTAACACTGTTATACTACATGAAAACAGTGACAATACCAACCCCAAATCTTTGCCACCATATTAAATTCTACATGTTATTGTCCCCTTAATTTGTTTCTTCTTGCTGTTCTCACATATGCCCATAAGTAATTAATAGTTCTCATGACATTATATTACTGGAACAAAATTATAAGATAAGGGAGAGTAAAGTGCTTCAATCTTGCAATGAGATTATTATGGGCGTGAAGCATAAAACCTAGTTCATTTACGCTTATCGCTTGTATTCTTGCTCTCAACCAAATCAGTGTACTCAACTAAAAGAAGTTGTATGTGACCAATAGTCTGTGAGATGTGAGAAAGACACATATAAGTTATATATGACATATAAAACCTAGTCCATTTGCTATAATTTTAATGTTACAAGCGCTACTCCTCCAAAAGAGTAGAAGAAACTTATGAAAAGATTGTAATTTAATTGTTTCCACAAACAACTATAAGAATGGACAAGTATGGCATGTTTGAATTCAAACTACAAGCATGGTAAAAAAACTAGTTTATTTGAGTTACATCTGATTTAGCTTGGCTGCGTTTCTTGCGGCGAATGAGTAGTTAGGGTTTCTAGGGTTTGTTCTGTTTTGTGCTTATTTCCTTGTTTTAGTCCCTTTATTTTGTTGTTTGGCTGGTCCATATTATTTCTTGGTGTTTCGCTTTGTATTTGGACCATTCTATGTACCTTTTTTTTTTTTTTTTTTATTTGTATGATAATGAATTATATTTCCATAAAAAGTAGTAGTCATATGTCTTGGCAGACCTTAGAGGTCCTGTTTTCTAATAGACAAGATGGTGTGCAGCTTTTTTCAATCTAATATCATGAACCGTTTGGATCAAGAGGAGACATAACACAGAAGAAAATAAATATGCATGGAACCCTCAACCCTGTAAATTTGTATGGAGCTGAGAGTACAAACAAATAATATCCGAAATGCAATTATATATATATATATATATATATATATTGCACTCTTCTACAGTGTATTGGAGTGCATAAAGGGAGTTAGAATAATATCCCCTAATTTCAAAGTCCTATTTGTTGTTGGGTTAATCTAAAGAGAATTTCTAAGCATTCGTATATGCACAACAAGATCTGACAATTCCCAACAGTTGATGCAATGCAATATGGACTTTACATGCATATACGGCTGAGATTGCATCAACAATTAAGAGTCACACATTTGTATGTTGGGAAAATGTCCTAAGCACAACTTCTTTTAAGAAGTCGATAGTCGATACATTTACCATTGTGGACACCAAGCATTTAGTAAAGAGAGAGGCTTGGCTTTTTAAGATTAAGGAGGAGTTACTCCTCAAGATACTCCTGTAAATATCATCTCTGTAAAAAAAAAAAAAAATATCAATTAAAAATAAGATTGTTTAGTCAATTAACTGTAACAATAGAAAAACAGGTCATCATTCTTTTACTAGATCCATCCATCTATTTTTTTATGGTTTGATGACTAAACGATCTCATATGTAATTTTTTTTTTTTTTTTTTGTAGAGATAATCTTTAAAATATGTAATTTATAATATGAACGATTCCGATCATAATCATAAAATTTTGTAAATCAGCCATGTAATAAATTGAGGAGCTTAATTACTATACTAAAGTATGTATGAGAACATATCTTAGATGTGAACCCTTACAATTTTGGTAATGTATGTGTATGATAGATACCACACAATAGGATCGAATCCTGACCAAATATCTTATATAGCCGCTAAAGTGTCCCTGATATGAGAAAGGCAGCCACAGCTATCACAAACAATTATTTATGATCATCAGATCAAAAGAGAGCCCCATCTGTCAAAATCAGAATCAAAATATAGAGTTGTCAGCTTTGTTCAAAAGAGAGTCCCACCCTTATTTAACCTAATGCATTTCCCACATCTCTATCAAACTCTAAACCTAGCTTTGGTGGGACAACGGTCAAATTTAATTCAAGATTGAAATGTTCATGTCTGGCTAAGTGGGTCGACATCTGTAGAGATGTATAATACACACACATATATACATGTGAGACAACGAGTCTCTGGACTTGGTTTCTATTAGCAAATAGGAAGGCCAGGAGGAAAGCAAAGGGCATCAGAACCCTATCGAGCAGAAACAAAAGCATAGAAACAAGAACAGGTTTGCAATATTTGCAGAGACTTGCAATAAGTTAGTTTCCTTTTCTCCACATCTGCATTTTTTCCCAAATGCCCACGCTTGCACCAAACAACATATTCATTGCTAGGGACGATACGAGTAATTAAGTCGAACATGTGTTTCTGTACATTTGGTTTTCCTGTGTCTTTACTTCATGGAGCAAGAATATATTCACTTTTATCGTGTTTCAAAACCCTAATGTGATTATAGTTCCGGACCCATTTGCCCTCTTGCCATTTTTTCATCTCACCTAGCCAAGTGATACGTTAGAAATGTAAATGCTTGCAGATGGAAGGATAGAATGGTAAGAGTGCATGGCGGGCTGCAGATGATTGGGTTATATGTTGAATAATTTGTGCATGGTTTATGTCGTTGTCTGTTGGCAATTCATGTTAGGAAAAAGAAAAACACAGAGGTCTGTCATTTCACCATCTCTTCCAAGAGTACGTAAGCTTATTCTATCATTAATTCCGTCAGCGTGAGATGAAGGATTTAGCTTGCAAATAGCAAATTTACATTTTTTTCCTGATAGGGTAAATGATCAAATTTAGCAAAAGCTATTACTTCATAATGCTGCAATTATTTCTTTGTCATGTCTCATGGACAGGCAAAAGTAACTTTAATTTCCCCAGTCATGTTTTATTTTATTATTATTTTTATATCCATGTTATTTCTTGTTCAAGTAGGAAATTGAAAAGGAACGTATGAGAAGTAAAAATAAGTATATGGATAACACTACCCTTTTAAGTAATGTATTGAAAGAGCTTTACCTTTTCTGCTACAGTTAACACTTTAATTATAATGCGCAACGAAAGATTTATTCCTTCTTATATATCAATCACAATTGTTCAAAGTTAATCCATGAATTATCGGCGAAGAGTTACATGTGCTTATAAGTAATTGGATTATTTACTCCCTATATAGCCAATTGATTTTATAGTGGAACATCAATTTTCCTCATGATATCAAAGCACGTTGTCTCTTGTATAAAAGCCCAACGGCCACACGTGCTCCACATCACCTGATTTGCATTGTCCACATGTTTGGCTTGAAAATTCACCACACATGAAGGGACTTGTCGAGAGTTAATCCCACATTGGAGAAATTAGGGACTTTGCATGTGCTTATAAGTAAGTTGGGCTACTCTTCATATAACCAATTGATTTGAAACCTCAACTTTCCTCAACAATGATATACACATAGTTATTCATTAAAAACATGAAAGAAGAAGGACCGAGTCCATACATGTAGAGGGAGTACTCAAACATTTTCCTTCTAATGCACTCCATATCGATAATTTGGCTCTTAATTTATTCGTTCTCGGAAATTTAGCTAGGAAGAGGACATGAGAAACCCCCCATCAGGTAAAATAGAATTTCTAAGGTGATACGAGAGATTTAAGTAAAATTCAAGAGTCTTTGCATTTTGTGAAAATTGAATAATCATTTAAATATATCCATTAAACACAGTCTCGCTTCATTATTGTTAGTGTTTTTATTAATAATTTTTTTGTTGATTCAAGGAAAAAATGTGTATTGATACTAGGAATATTAATCATAGATGGAAAGATTATGTGTATCTTGTCAATGAAATTTTTTATAAAATAATGGGAGGTTACGTTAGGGCGCTTAACGGCATAAAGACTAGAATTGCTATTGATCTTAGAGAAAGAAAACACTAACAAATGAAACTACACATAGATTAATATTTAGAGTAGAACGTTCAGAAAATCATGATCTAAATAAGAGAAGTAGAAAGTTATAAGCCATGTGAAAGAACAAGTAAACTGTCGATTATCCATGTCCTACATGGGCCATTTCAAAACCCATTACCAAACACACCATTTTCTGGCTGATTTTCCTTTTCTTTTTTTTTATTTTTTTTTTTTGTCAAACCCATTTTCTGGCTGATTTGTTTGGACAATTTGTCCACACCCGATTGCTTTCGGAATCTCAAAGTTTTCATTGATTAGGAGGTAGTGGAGTGGCCAGCCAATTTGATGGTCAGATTCTGTGGCATATTGCCATGACATCCCATCCTTTTTGTGCCCGAAGTGTCACATATTAACGGCTTGGGATTGTTTCATCGGTAGTTTGATTAGATGCTAACAGTTTAATATCACCATAGACCAGGAAAATGCTTTCCTTTCATCCCCGAAGCTCCACTGCTGCATGTTACAGGCAGTGTGTACTTCTTGTTTTTCCCAAAATTCCAAAGCATACAGGGTGAAATCGGAGTTGTGAATTGAACAAACGCATCTAAGCCTTGAAAGATGGTTAGTGCATAATAATACTTCCCCCATTTTTACAAGTTGCCAATTTACCACACCACTCTATACAAATAAGTTCATCGATCAAAGCTAGATTTCGTAGCAAAAAATACTATAACAGAAAGAAAACAAAACTCATAAACTCAATTATATATTATTTCACCTGGCGATTGTTGTCTTAAATATTTAACCTCTGATAGGTTTGTTTCTAAGATGATTCTTAAAGTGTTTTTTTTCTAATATTCAGTAGTATATTTTGCAATATTCAATCGAAAGGCAAAGGAAAAAAAAAATACAAATGGGCTACTTAATTCTACGATCTAGTGGTATTTCTCTTCACTTGTAACTTGTAAATGAGAGGTCATATGTTCGATTCTCGCCAAAACGAATTTGAACCATATTATTGATAGTCCATTGTGAAACTAAAGCATACATTCTTCTTATAGTGTAGATAATATCGTTTGTTAAAAAAAAAAAAAAAAAAACTTCTCTATCGTAACAGTCAATCAAATTACAATCGTATGATCAATGTCTCCATTCATATTCTATTAACTACATCGAATTTTAAATAAATAACTCCTTCAATTCACAGTCCGATTGAAATAAAAATGATAATATACTTAATATCTTATTTAATAATGTAATTATTTTGGTAAGGATAATATTTTGGTACAAAAGGGTCTGGACCGCACATCCTTATCCAATAGTATGAGTTAATACTAATACAACACATGTCATACCGGCTTTAAAAATAAATTAATAACATATTATTTAATTATTTTCAACCTAGTCATAGATATAGGGTTAGGACCCAAGTATAGTTCTCGTGGAGCAAAAAACGGTATAGTTCTTGTGATAATATAAGAAAAAAATATATCTAATGCAAGGATACACACTAAGAGAGTTTTTAGTATGCATCGATGTATACTACATTGAAATTTATCTGTTAAATTCCTGATTAATGTTTCTCTGGACACAAATTTAACCTTTTATTCATTAATGCACGAGATACACTATCTTACTAAGAGATAGAAGTTTGGTGCCAAAAATTTAAGAAGTGGAAAGAGATGAGGGCAGAGAATAAAAAACAAAGAAGATTTGGATCGGGGAAGTGAGGAGAGATTTTTCAGTATGATCATCACACGAGATGATATATTATGTGTTTTTATATAAATAATGGGTTATGTATGTTAAAAGGTTAATAACTAAAAATTAAAATTTTTTACCATTTAAATAAAAATAAATGATGTATTATTCATGTTCTCGTTCCAACTAAAAATTTCACGGGAAGGGAGTGAAAGTTTGCTGAGGAAAAAAAAAATGGAAAAAGAGGAGAGTGGATTGTGGAAAAAAGGAGGAGGTGCAGAAGGTAGCAGAGCAGTAGTTGTTTTTAGTTTTTTCATTTCTGTGTTTGGGAATTGTTGAAAGACAGTAGAGAAAAGCCTGCAAGAGTATCAAACAGCCAAACATGGCAGTGCTTAGGATGTGACGGCCCTCTTAGATTCACCCTTTCTTTTTCCCCTCTCTCTCTCTCTCTATCTCTCTCTCTCTCTCTCAAACTTGCTTAAATATACCATCCCTCTTTTTAAACCTCCAACACAACTACCCTCACTTAAGGGCTGAGATGACAGTTGCAACAAGGGAACCTAGTTAATCTGAAAAAGGTCCCAGAGAGAAAAATAGCCACAGAGAGAGAGAGAGAGAGCCCAGAAAATATCAGATAAAGTTGCTGTTTTCTTCTGCCATTGGTGGGTTTTTTGAGCTTCCATCTTGCTGTCCATGGAGTTGAAAAGACTTCACAGACTGATAAGGTTCACCACCATCGGCATTTTCTCAATTTATGCACTTTTCACCACCATCAGTTCCACTTCCACTACATGTCCAGGTGAGCTTTTCAACAATCAAATTAATTTCCCATTTTATATTATTTTTTTTAAGAAAAAATTGAATTTTTCACTGAATTAATATTTCATTTAAACAGAATTTAATTATCTACTTGTTTCCAAAATGCAGATAACAACTGTGCCTTCACGGCTAAACTGGATTCATATTTTCAGGTAGGTAGTTCCACAGTTCCACTATACCTATCATATTTTATGGTCCGTGATTTTAACACTCCTTTAGCTTCCTGCTGGCACTCACGAAGTGCCGGAATCTGAATATAGATGACTAACGAGGAGTGCCAAAATCTCTACCTTATTTGATACTTCAACATTCAATGAGCACTAATGCTTCTTTCTTATGTTATTTATTGTTCTCCACATGAATCACATCAATCACCACATATCATGACCTTACAGCAAGTCTCTAGTAGCTTTGACTAACTTTGACCCAAGCTGGGTTTTTGATAAAGACTGCATATGCTTGTATGAAATTGAAAAGACAAAAATAGAACCATATTATTATTGTTATTACTGATCAAGCCACCACCTACCATGGTGCTTTGATAAGTAGCACACACTGACTGAAGGACAGGGTGGTCCTGCTGCTGTTTACCCTGGTCCATACTAAGAAAAATGGTCTTGTAGTACGGCTCAGCCTGCCTAATTAAGAAGCACACAGCACCACAGGCGTAGTTTAGCACACAGCTTTGGCCTTGGAGGACACCTATTTTTATTTGGCTTTTCAGAAGCAAAAGAAAAGGCTTTTGTTGTTCATATTGTCGTCTTCTAAAAATTCTACTGCATCTTGGTAACTTGCGCCTGCTGTGCTCAGCGCCCTACCCGCTCAAACCATGTTGTATAGTGTACTCCCGTGAGCTAAAAATTGTTATCGGGGCCGGCGAACATTAGCATTGGTAGGCGCACTTTAGCACTAAGGATATATGTTGACAAGTCGGCAGACGTTAGCAAACTGTGTGCGCAGAAGGGTTGGTGGATAATTGTGTTATATATAATTGCTAATTTTTGGGAGATTAACTAACTGAAGTGGTGCAGGAATTTGGGAAGCACAGTGACAAAATGAGGGAGCAGAGGATGATGACTTTGAGCTTGGCTAGGAGGTACTTGAGTGGACCTGGATCGTCCCCCCCTCGGTGCACATCCAAGTGCGGCAGGTGCACCCCTTGCAAGCCGGTTCATGTGTCTGTGCCGCCTGGGACGCCGGTGATGTCGGAGTACTACCCGGAGGCTTGGAGGTGCAAATGTGGCAACAAGTTGTACATGCCATGAAATGAAATGAATATGATCATCATAAGCTTTATGATATTTATTTTATTTGTGTTAGTGTCGCGAAGACAAATTCTAGCTAGCTACTTTTCTAGCTTATTATGCTTATTAGTCAGAAAAAATGGATATTTACAGGACTTAAATTTCTGTCGAAATATATATATACACGTTAACATTGACGGAGAGTATCATATGATCAGTATGGAGAATATATGCTGTGTTAAATATTTGGAAATTTATGTTCATAGTAATTGAATGGTTGTTTCCTTCCCTGTAAATCTTCTTGTCAACGACTACTAAAATGAACTCATTCCTACCCCACACCTTTTTTTTAGGCCCAACTGGATAATCATGGAACTAGCTAAGCTAGGAAATAGTAGCACCTGAACTCGTCGAGGTTCTCTACACTTGGAAAGATTCTTACCTACAAATGGAGATATATCCCGATAAGTCAGGAAGAGAAACTCACATGCCACCGGCCGGTTCACTGTCTCGCCCTCCCTCCTCTGCCTCACTTGACTCTGATCACACAATGATTGTTGTAGACTCATCGATATATATATATATATACACACATATATATATACACACACACACACACATATATATATATATATATATATATATCTCTCTCTCTCTCTCTCTCTCTCTCTCTCTCTCTCTCTCTCTACAATAACATAGGAGAATCTCAAGCTAATCCATAAGGTATCGTTTGGTATGCAGACGGGACGGGACGGAACGGAATGGGACGGGACGGGACGAGACAGGACGGAACGGAACGGAGTGGGAGCAAAGATGCCCTCGGATGGAAACAAGGAGGAAGAAGAAGGAGACGGAGAGGTTATAATTTTGTGTTCCACGGATGTGGAACGAGTCGTTCCAGGGGGGTGAGGTGGAACGAAAATTCACCCAAAACTCGTCCCATGGAACAACTCGTTCCACCCGTTTTAGGCGCACCAAACGTGGGACGGAACGCCTTGTCCCAGTCTGTTCCGTCCCGTCCCACGTACCAAACGGTACCTAAAGAACGAAGAAAGTAATTGGCCTTTTTCTTTTTGGGTAGAGACAATGACAAATAGTGAACAATGAAACAGGCTCTGCCTCGCGTACAATTTGAAAACTAGTTTTCCATCAAACAGTGTTCTAAAAATTACCGCCTAGTGCCACCTAGGTCCCGCCTAGTGCCACCTAGGTCCCGCCTAGGCTCTAGACAGCTGGCCACCACTCCAATTAGTCCCTACGCATTTATAAATTAAGAAAGGGCGCCTAAACCCGCTTAAGCGTCTGCCTAGCTGTCCTAGGCCGCCTAAACCCATCTAGGTCGCAATTCCTAGTCAGACAGAAAATCGATAACTTTCATTTTTCATTTTATTTTTTCAATAAAATGTAATAAACTTATTGAATACTTGGATTAACACTCATTATATGTTTGTTCTCCATGTTTTCAATATGTTGTAATACTTTATATATATATGTGTGTGTGTGTGTGTGTGTGTGATTTTATTATGTAATTTATGTATCTCAATATAATTATGTGTTTGTTTCAAAAAAAAAAAAAAAAAAACTTATGTGTTTTTTTAAGTATAAATAGGCACTTATTGATACAATATGTAATGAGTTTACTTAAATCCTCCTAGGCCCCCGTCTAGTTCTCATCTAGCCATCTAGGCGCTAGGCCCTAACCCACCGCCCAACTAGCACCTAGCATCTTTAGAACCTTGCCATCAAGTACTATAAGAATACGAAAGAAAACGTGTAATTTGTTTTCTATGAATCAACAATTATTGTTTATGAAATCTGAACTCATGACGTCTTTTATAAAAGCAGAAATTATGTGCCACTAAATCAAACAGTTATTAGCAATTGTGCACATTGTCTAACTTGAAGCTTTTGCCACTACATTCCTTTTCGTAAATTGATCATGCCATTAGCATATAATAAATGAATTTGATTGTGAAAGAGATGTTGCATACATACGTTGCCTGCCTATACATTAATATTGGAGAGAATTGAACCATAAACGTATTTCAATTCTAACTTATTATCGCACCCTCGTCACTTAGACTTCTTAACAAAGTCAACATTACATTAAATGTCTTAACTTTTCAGTGAAGGAAGGCATCTAATTTCAAGGAAGAACATTGTGGGCTTTTCTTGTCACAAAAGGTCATTATGGGCCTTCTCTAATTTTATTTTGTGAGCTCAATATATAACAAGTTCTACTTAACTTTGGGATAATGCCAGAAGGCAATTTTAAACTAAATTTGTAAACCGATGTCACCAAATCCAGTTTATTTAATTAAAGACTTATTTTATAATACCAAGGTTAATATATAATCAAAATTATTATATTAATGCATAGAAAATGTTAGGGAGATTCTCTCTAAGTGAGACTCTTTATGGAGATTCTGTCATCTCATAATTTAACATTAAGTCTCGTGTAAACAATATAAAACATTGTACCAAAAACATAAGGTGGCAGAAAGTCTATAAAAAATCGCATTATGTAATGGTTAGTGATCATCATTGGTTTTGGAGTATGATTGAAGCCTCTGCCCCCTAACAGATGCTCCTAAACTCCTCTTTGTACTTGCTCCCACCACCTACCAAGGCATAGCCAAAAGCTTATATAATAATGCTTCATTAATATAATTTTTAGCATTTTTTTTTCATTAATAAAAAAAATCAAAGGCTTATATAATTCGTCCTTGATGCATGATTCCCTAGCTCTCAAGGCTTACAACTTCATTAATAAGGGCAAGACATCTGCCACCAAAGAAGAGGAAATGTGTTATATTTGTGGCTCCAATGACTATTGGCCTCACATTCGCTAATCTTCCGCTTAAGTTGTTGTTGAGTATCATTTACGTTGCAAAGCAGTACAGACTAACTTTGTTCAAGTGGATAATCTCTAAGATACAATTATGGAGATTTCTAATTTTTAAGAGGCATATGCACCGAAGATTAGAGTTTCTAGACATGAGCCTATATGTGGCCGAGTTCACCTAGTGGTCGAACCCCTTTAATTTTTTGTTTAAGTTTTGAATAATTTATTTTGTTTTTGGATTATTTGTTTGATGTTTGTTTTAACGTTGTAAGATTCCAAGAATTTATTATCGAAGAAAAGAAATATTTCAAAAAATATGTTGTGCTTATTTATTGAGAAGGTGTTCATGAGAAAAGAGTGGACGTCATTACGAGTTTGTAACATTTTTCGGATTACATTTTAGAACTCAGATGAATTTTTAAGGTGATTTACATGACTAATGAATAAGTGCCATGTGGCAGCCAATGAGTGGCTAGCTTGCCACGTGACAGCAGCTGGAACTAGACAGCCAATTGTGTTGGTGTCAAATGAGCCACACGGTAAGTGATGAAAGGAGGGAAAGAAAATAAGAAAAAAACAAAGGAAGACGAGAAGAGTAATGTTATTCATATCATGTTTTTATACTACATTTCTATACCACATTAGGTAGCATCTGATGTGGACAGCCATATCATTTGAAAAATTTGCAAAACCCAAGGAAATGAATAAGAAATACTCCTCGTATATCACAATTATCATTTAATCAACTAGTTTTTCTTAATTATTAGTTTATTAAATAATGAACTAAATTTAAAAACATGATTAATTCAAATGATGTGGCTGTCTACATCAAATTCCACCTAAGGTGATATGAAAATGTGGTACCAAAACATAATATGAATATCATTACTGAGAAGAGAAATCAAAGTTTTCTTATTACTTTGACACATGGCAGGATGCCATTGGATTAGAAAGCAAAGGGGCTGTGTATGTGTTTGGGAATATAAAGGCAGCGTGCCCTTATTTTTATCTTCTTCACCACAAGGGGTGGGCATGGTCAGATTCGATTTGGTTCTACCCTCAAAAAGAAATCGGAGTCGGAAAATTTCAACGGTTTGGTTCAGTGCGTTTCGGCTTAAATTAATTACTAAAATCGTACAGTTCAGTTCATAACGATTCTGGTTCGATTCATGCCGGTTTACGGTTCTAACCAAAATTATATATATATATATATATATTTTTTTTTTTCTTTCTAATTTTCTACTTCTAATACCAAACACATATTTCAACCACAAATTCAAGTAACTTTGGGTTTCCATTACTAGATCTACAAGATTTGCGATCGAAAGATAGAAAGTGTGCATATAAATATAAACCAAAAGATAAAAAGGCTCATATCAAGACCAAAGTGTAGATCTTAAACTAAAATTAAACTATACATAATGCATAATATACTGGAAAAGAATGGAGAAAAATAATGTAGGGGGAGAAAAATGATAAAACAACAAAGGAGGAGGAGAGAAGTGAAGAAAAATATTGGGCTTATGCACATGGTCTTCTTAAAAAATGTCTTATTTATATAAAAATAATAATAAAACAATCATTTATATTAAAAGCAGTTTGGTCTGGTTCATTCGATTCTAATATTTCCAAACCGGAACAGAAACCGTTTGAAATGGTTCGGTTAAGTTTTTGTTCCAGTTTTGACTTTTTTTGTCAATACCATTTTTTTTTTGTCACGGTTCGATTCAGATTTTCGGTTTGGTGGTTTTTATGTTCGCCCCTATTCACCACCATGAGTAGCTTTGGAGAAATGGAAAAGAGAATGCTCTCTTTTACTCAAAAACCCGAAACAATGTTCCACTGTAACTTTTGATTTACTACTCAGAATTCAACTTCGTTTCAGTTTATGAATTTCTGGAGAAGAGTACCACAAACCAAGGTATCAATTTATGGGTTTATTTCAGATTTCGGAAGTTGGCGTTTTTGGGATTATGTACTGCACATGCTTAATTTCTTGGATTAAACTGTTGTTTATTGTGGATTAGACCTATTGGAGGTTTAAGTGAATGAATTGAGAAAGATATGACTATGGGTTAGCTGTTGTAAACCCTAAACATGCTCATGCTTGTGAACTATAGGGAGTTTGATATTAATCGAATAAATTAAAGCTATACTTCAACTAATTGGATTGTAGAAGTGAGAAGATATGATTTGGGTATGCTTTGGATTCGAAGAACTGATGAATGAATCTGAAAGTAAAGAAAGAAATGTGGAAAAAGAAAAGGAACCTACTGTAATGTTTCTACACAAGGGGTGTTTCGTAGGCATAATGAAGTTTTGGGGGAGATTTACAATTTTCGGAAATA